AGCTTCAATATGATTGTAAGAAGAGAGAGATAAAGCGAGCAAGAGAGTAGACTAAATTAGATCGCAAGTGACCAGAAAAAAAAAAAAAGAAATCCTCAATAAAACTCGCATCATGCGTGGAAGGATAAAATATCATTGGATCTGCATCATGTCTAATGGCATTTAATTCTCACTCATTTAAGTTTTGCTCAGGATACATTTTTCCGTGCTGCGGACCAGCAAATATATAATCATTTTCTTATTAAAAGATGTATTAAAGAATTGTATCAGGAAAAACACAAGTATGTGCTTCCAAAAATAAAAAAACAATTCCAATTATAAGGATTTTTATATTGTCAATAACATCAGACTATGCCTGATGTTGAGGCATAACCTAATTACTGTAAAAGCTTTAGAAGTTGATGAGGAGAAGTACGAGATATTTGCAGATAATAGGGCTCGGCTTCAAATTTTGGAGGCTTGATTTTCTTGATATGCCTATTTTTTATTTCTTAGCAAACTTGCATCCAAAACAGGAGAGATTATTATGTTTAGAGTCTGGACATTGAGAACCGTTCGGTTTTATGGTTGTAAACAGTAAAAGCGCATGAGTGAATAGTAAAAGCACAGTTGTGAACAATAACTGTGCTTTTACTTTTCACAGTTACAAAATAGAACGATTCTTTATATCTGAACTCTGTACGTAATAATATCTCTCACAATAGATGTTCAATGCCAAACACATACAAACTAAATATCAACATACACAAGGCAGAACCCAGTAAAGGAATCAAACGATTCTTATGTACTTAGACGGGCTAGAATAATCATGGATCAGTTTTTTGTTGGCACCGGGTCATTTGGATCATGTTAGGTTAACCCAGACCCGAAGCGGGTCGGGTTCGGGTTGACCCTTTGACTAGAAATAGACATATATTTTCCCCGAAACCCATTTTTGTCCCGGTAACCCGAGATTGACTTGTTTTGACCGAAAAAGTGGAGATTGGCCCATTTTTGGACCTGAAAACTAGTAGTTTTTTGTTGGCACAAGGTCGTGTCGGGTTGACCTTGACCCGAAGCGGGTCAGGTTCGGTCTAAAAAATCGACTCGTTTGCAAAAATGGGTGAAGTTCGGGTTGACCCGAATAGTGCTGGGTCAGTTTGGATTTGACCCGTGACCCGAAATTGCCACCCCTACTCGCTCTCGCTCCGGAATTTTGCGGCCCATGTGGATTTTAAGAAGCTTTAAAACCAGGTACTGTTTCATAGCGTAAGGAAAGATGAAAGGTACCATATAAGTTGCCAGGATTACGTGTTTGATGGTGGACAGTGTGGCGGAAAAGCAGGGACGATGTTGTAAGCTTGGTCAGATCTCATAAGTAGCAGAGGCCGCGGAGGAAAGAGGCGTCTCCGCTTTCCTTCCTATCCTTCTCCGCTTTGGCATCTATCTGTTTCTCCTATATAAGATGCTGGAAATTGTTGCTGGTGGATTGCAAGAAAAGGAACAAAACCTTAATAAATAATCAATTTCTTCCATCCATCTCATAACAGCTCGCCTGATTTGGTCTTAAGCAAATCATTTTCATGTGCAGGATAGCTGTAGTCTGTAGATCTAGCACCTTTTCCGAGATGCAGTGAGCGCCATCCAAATTAGTTCAATGTCGATCCTCGAGCACGGCCATCAATGTAGGTGGGGGAAGTTTCAGCCCACCATGCCAGCTAAGTTTTTGGGGCTTGGTCCAATGCTCTTGAGTAGTAAAACCGGCCGAGCCTACGTAGCTGGTGGTACTTAGCCCAAAAATTATAAAAGATTATGAATTAGGATCTTTTCAGATGATTGCTGTGTTTTATTAAATTGATTATAAAACTATAGAGGAAAAAATAACATTATTAATCTAATTATTAAAAAAAAATACAGATTTTCACAATAAAAATTTATATAAAAATAATAATCAAATGAAATTGTGATTATTGTTTGAAAATAAAATAGCTAGAAAGCTATTTCAAATTGGGGTGTCAATCTCAGGTCACGGGTCGGGTTTGGGTCGAACCTGGAACTGACCCGGGTTCAATCGGGTCGACCCTAACCCGACAGCGGGTATCCGGGGCAGCCTCAGGCAGCTCTTTCTATGGGGGTTTCTGGGTTGACCTGCTAACCCATCGGGTCAACCCGAACCCAACCCATTTTGAAATCGGGTCGAGTCCAACCCGGATTTTCGAGTCGGGTTTTCGTGTCGTGTCAAATATTGACACCCCTAATTTCAAATATGTCCTTAGTTAGAGAAATTATAAGACACCGATAACACAAATTGATTGCTTATTTTTGGTGCATTAATACGTTATTGTGTGAGAATTGAATGGTTTATTTAGATTTGTTTTAACTAACTTTACGCTAAGATTTTCTTACTAATTAGTGAATGTCCTGTACATAACTCATTTTGGCCTGTTGCTAAGAGCTCTTGACTACCAATAAAGAGGTCTTGAGATTCGAATGTTGCGTATATGATATGTGTGAGTGAGTTTATCTAAATTAGCCTAAATTATCCCCACAATAAAAAAAAAAAGTGAATGTTGTGCTTCTTGCTGAGGTTGATTTTTTTTTTTCCGGAAAATTTTGAGACATTAGCCTAATCTATTCATGTAAAAGAAGGAAATACAAGTGTAAAAGAGAAAGAACCAAAAAAACTATCCACGAAAAAAACAAAAATAGAAGTAAATGGTCATACAAAAAATAACCACCAAAAGGTAGGACAAAAAATGCTCTGCAAAACGAGAACTACCAGCAAGCAAGAAGAGCATCATGTCTCCTGGTTGCCACAAAAGACCTTCCAAGAAGAAGCTGGTAAGAACCAGCATTCATCATCGACCACCAAGGTTTAATTTCATTAAGAGTTATTGTAAGCATTATTAAACCAGGCTTAATTACTCTTTTCAAGGTTAGATGTATACGAAGCAGTAATTAATTGTTTCATATAACAGTTAAATTAGTTCACTGTTAGTTTCTAATTGACTGTTTTTAGATAATTTTGATTTTGGTTAAGCTTCTTATTCACTGTTTTAAATTTAAAGTGGTACAAACTTACAATTAACCATTTCTGCAAGTGAACTTCAACTTGGCATGTGATTTATTGTATTGGCATCACCTGAATCTTAATAGAAGCTTTATAGGTTTCGTTTGGAATAGTTTTTTAATTGTTTTAAAAATAGTAAGAAAACTAACAGAAAGTCATAGTCACAAATCTCTATCAATTATCAATTGATTAAAAAAAAATTATCAAGAGTTATGAGAAAGCTTCACAAGAAGATTATGAGATCTTGACTAGAAGCTTAACTGTGTTAAATGGATCAAACTTGGGAATTCAACAAAGACAAAGATTCATGGACTAACACTAAGAGATCTCACGAAAATTTTATTGAATAAAATGAAGTTAAATTCTTAAACATTGAAATGATTTTTAGTGTGACAATTGAAATTTCATAAAAAATTTAAAAATTTAAATATGTTTGTACAAAAATATTTCTATGATAGGTGATCGACCTCGTCAGTAAATGTTAATGCTAAAATAAGAGGCCTAAAGGTCAAAGTGAATCATACCTTAATAATTTAAAATTTGAGCATAAAATTGTGTGATCATTAGATTAAAATGGAGGATAATGATGATATCTAATGGTTTAGAATTTAGACGGTTACCTCTCAAAAAATTCTTAATAAGAACGTTAAAAGAATCTGTCAATGAATACTTGAATACCAAGGGTTCATTTAAGATGACTTTCTTACTGGTTCTTAAAGCAGCTTCTTCCACTCTTTGGGATTGATTGGTTTGCACTTGAAAAATATTTTTTATACAATTTTGTAGCATTATGTACTCAGGCAATGTGGCATTGTGTAGTTTTTATGGAGAAAGATAAATAGTGGAATGTTGGGAGCTCTAGACCCTAGCATTGCGGCTCTCCAGCTCGGTGTTGCTAGGGAGTGCTGTGGTGCTCTAAAACCTGGCTTTGCGGCGCTGTCAAACAAACATAAAATAGAGGGTTGAGCACCACGATGCTACAAGACGGGCTGACAAATTTCTTACTTATTTTCCATAAAGAGTTGCGTCACTTGGTGGTTTCATTGTATCTCTTTGCTAGTTCTATTATGAGAATGGTGCAACGGTGAAGAGAGACAATGAGAGAGTGAGAGCAAAGAGAGACATGTAATATTTCTCCCAAAATTTCATAATAAATTTCTTGGTATGACATTATTTCGTAGAATTTTTACGATTTTGAGTTTTTTCAAGTTAAAAACTTGTGTTCTTTATTTTCGTTGTAATTTTCTATTTCATCTTTATATTTGTTTAGTGTTTCACTTTGCCAATGAAATACTGTTCAACTCCCTCACTAGTCATCCTAATAGCAACCAAACATAACTTAGTTGTACTAATTAAGATTTAGCTTTGGGCAATTTTTTTACTAATTTATACCGTAACTTTTAGTACCAAAATTTTTTGAAATTAATGAAGAAACATTGGCCTAAAATCGGAACAATTATTATGTCCTCCGACCGGACGTAGAGGAACGTCCGGTCGGAGGCCAAATCCCGCCAAAAAATGAAAAATACCGAGTAAATACTGAGCAATACCAAACAATAACAAGGAATACCATCACGTGAAGATCCAATACCGAGTTATACCGAGCTATACTGAGCAATACCGAGTTATACAAAAGTTGTACCGAGTTTTTCCTAGCAAAAATTAGGTACAACTCGGTGTTGCTCGGTATAGCTCGGTATAACTCGGTATTGATCTTCACAGAGCGGTATTCCTCGTTATTATCAAATAATACCTAGCAATACCGAGCAAATACCGAGTTTTTTAGCGGGATTTTGCCTCCGACCGGACGTTCCTCTACGTCCTTACACCAGACCTAATAAAAGTTCCTAAAATCGCTCCAAACGAAACTTAAGTTATGCGAAAAGTTAAAATAAGACTAAGACTGAGTTGAAACTCGTAGTACAATAAAAATGAATGCATTTAAAACATTTCAAAATTTCTAAGTACAATAATTTATTAATAATTTTGGACAAAGAAGAAATTACAGTATTTCAAAACAAATCAATAGAGAACATACAAATCGTATCATCACATTACAGATCAAAGAATAAAAGAATTAACAATAACAAAAAAGTTATTTCTCTTCCTCTCACTTCTCAGTTGATGGTGCACTCAGTAGGCAGCCCTTGTGGGAATCGCTTGCGATCGGTACAGTAGTTATAGATCATGTAATTGCTCTGCACCGACGACATCCTCTTCTGGCTCGTCACATCCATCTCGTAATCCATCCAAGTTCCAGCCCCACTGCATCTTGATCCGCCGCCGATCCAAACGCAGGCGTTGGCGTTGAAGCTACGGTAAGAAGCGGTAAATGGCGCGTTGTTCCAATCCGTCTTGATGAGCCCTCCACGGGTGGCCCAGTCGTCGGCGTTCCAGAGGCTGGAGTAGATCCTCATGGCTTGACTCTTTGGGAAAGCGACCCCTCTCGTCTCCAGATTCCTGAATACCCTTATGGGCGTTGCGTCCACCATGAATCTGCGCATGCATATCTCAAAGTTAGCATCTTTTCTCTTATTTGATGAGCGATTATTAAAAGCTCTGGTTTTTTGTTATTCGGAAGCTGCGGCGATGACGCCGGAGCTGAGATGTTTGACTGTATTAACTTCAGGCTAGTTTCATTCCATTGGGTAGCTTATATGGCTACATAGGATTAGTACTTGCTTTTATTTTGTGTAGCCTATTATGTTACTTTCTTTGGCTATAAATGCATAGCAAATGCTTGTAATAAAGGGAGATTTTTGATATGAATATGATTTGAGTTTAGTCTCATGTGTTTCCTATATCCTAAGAGTGATTCTTAGGTGGTGGATCTTTCCTCCAAGAAGTTCTTGGAGCGGTGTCCGGCAACCGTCACCGGATTGTCGACGTGGATTCGTCGAGCCTCCTACCTGTCCGGTGTCAGGCGACTTACATAATTTGTCGGGGAATCCAGATGACAGAGTAGGTGTGGAAATCCTTGGTGGGATCGAACCAGAGCTTGAACTGCATCTCCCGATTGCCCTTTCCCTGCGTGAACACGTTGGTGTGCAGCGTGTAAGGGTCGCCGCTAAGGTTCCCGAGGAACTCAAAATCGATCTCATCATGCGTCGGCCCCTGAGACGATAGCTGCAGGCGAAGCAGTAGTAGACCTCATTAGTTTAATGAATTCCGAGCTATCACCAGCTTATAAAAGAGTTAATGGAGTGCGAAAGCTACTTACGTAGTAGGCGGTTACGGTGCCGGCAGAATTGCCAGGGACGAGCTTGATTTGCATATCAATCTTGCCGAAGAGGTACTCGCTCTTGGACTGGAAGCCGGAGCCTGAAGCCTTGTCGAGTGAAAGAGTAAGCAGCTGCCCGTTATTGAGTATCTTTGCGCGGCCGTCGCCCCAAGTGATGTCGAAATCATTGTTGAAGTTCCCTGCGGCGGCGGTGGAGACCATGGCGGCAAGCAGAGAGCAAGCCAATATAGAAAGCAACAGAACATTAGCCATTGCAGAAATGGTAAGTAATTAAGATGGAGAAACAAGAAGCCTGAAGCGTATTATCGGGGGGACAGTAGGCTGAGAATATGTTGGGTGAGAGTTGGAAACTGAGGGTGGAGGAATTTATAGGAGGCTGAGATTGACGAAGAAGAAAAAAACGCGGAGGGAGGTGGCGGTAGGAAGTAGATCGGAGACTTCCGAGCTAGTTTCTTCACACTTCTCTTGTCACCGGCACTTGTTAGCTGGCAGCAGTCTGGATACAGCGCACTGCATTGATGAATTAGTAGCGCACGGACACGGTATCCTATTGTTATATTATATTATAAATAATAAAAGACGCTCTTTTGCATTATGGATCAAATATGTACATTTTGAATTTGAATTCATATTATAATGAGAAATTATTCTGCAGAGTAAGATTCAGATGCTACATATTTATTGTTTATTTTACTGTGTATTTTTTTATACATAATTTTTTGTGACAAATAAGTAGTAAATAAATAATACATAATAAATACGCAAAAAATTATGTATAAAAAAATACACAGTAAAATAAGCAGTAAATACACAGCATCCGAACCTTACTCTGCATTCGGATTGCGTACACCTGAGGTAGAACTGTAGAATGCAAAACATGTTGATTTCGCCAATGAAAATGTGGAGAAACTATCAGATCATTTCTTAACTTTTTTTTGCAATCATTTTTCAATATATGCACTGAAATAAGATGGCTACCATAACAAATTCAAAAACGATAGCTAGACATGAAATGATGAAAACACTTAATAAAAAAATACATAAAATGTTTTTAGCGTCGAATTCATAAGATGATGTTATTCATATGTGATTAATTTTTAGTTTTGATGCCTCATCAAAAATTGGTTTGATTGGACTTGAATCTTGAAGCATATCTCAATTTAAAATTTCCAAAATTAAAAAGAGGGTCATTCAGCAAACTTATAGTCAAATTGAACATCTCGGGAGACGAATTCAACAACATCAAAATTGATCTAATCTGAGCCCAAATGGGCTCAAATGAAGAGCTTAAATAATACTTGAAAGCTTTTAGAGCATTAATTGAATGGTGAAATTATATCCAAATATAGAATGCTTGTAGTCGAATCGAGCGACTCAATGAGACGAATCCAGTGAGCCTAAGTTCACTTTATTTTGACATTATTAAGACACTTAAACGTTGAATGAATGCTCAATGATTGAATAAATCAATATAGATAGTTCGATGGAGCACTCTGAATTTGCTCAAGAACATTTTTATATTTATAAGACATGTTATTTTAGAAAATCTATAAATAGGCTCCCACTTCCCAGTTGAAAAGGTGTTTGGACATTTTGGAGGCTTGGACATTGGGCTAGAGATTCAAGAGAGCTTTAAGCCATAATTCCCATAGCACCACAATTGACGAACCCTTGCCACCCAGTCTTCATCGAACATTCACTGGTCGATCATGCTCAAACCTCCAATAGGTTGCTGCCACTGTACCTCAGCTAGGCTATTGCTCTCAGACTTTTGTATGGCCGCTGCCGCCAAGTCTCTGCCCAACCTATGTCTGTCGACTACAATCTCTTTGACATATGTCACCTAACTACAGTCCCTTCGACCATCATCGTAGGACAACAATCCCTCTGACCTCCTTAGCTTATCGACTATGCATGACCATTCTTACCTTCATCACCCACAAAATTTGGTCTCTTCGATCCCAGTCATCTAATTATGGTGCCTCCGACCCCTATCATCCAGTGAGTATGATCCTTGGACCTCCGACACCGAACATTAGTCCCATTTGACCTCAGTCTCCTAACTATAATCCTCTAACCTCCATTATTCGACTATGGTCCCTCCAACCTTCCTTGCCGACATCAATCCCTTCGACCTCTATCTCCTAACTACGATCCCTACGACCTTGACCGCTTGACTACGATTATTCCAATCTTCGTCACCTGCCAACTACAATCCTCGTTCCATCATTGCTTAACTACAGTCCTCAGATCACTATCACCAAAATACAATCTCTTAGACATCTATCCTCCAATTACGATCCCTCCAATCTCCATCACCCGTTGACTATGGTCCACAAACTATCGTCACCCAGCTACAGTCCCTCCGACATCAGTCACTTGACTACGGTTCCTACGACCTTCGTCGCTCGACTATGATTCCTCTGACCTATGTCATCTGACTTTGGTCCCTCCGACTTCTGTCTTCCGACTATTGTCCTTCTGACCTTTCTTGCCATATTACAATTCATCTAATCTCTATTTCTCGACTACGGTCCCTCCAATCTCAGTCATCGATGGAAAATTAGTTTATTTGATAATTTAAATTACTTAATAAGTTAATTTAAATTAGTTAATTCTTTTTTATAAATTATAAATATATATGATAATTTTACAAAAAGTTTTAAAATATATGCAGGAAAATCAATCGAAAATATTTCATCAGAAATACGCCTAAAATCCATCAGAAATTCTAACGGAATCTGCTATAATTTTTGGCGTAAAAATTTCGTCGGTAACTAGCATTTTTCTTGTAGTGGCCCAATTGCGGTCCCTTCAACCTCAATTGCCCGACTTCAGCCTTTCAAATCACCGTCTCCCGACTATGGTCCTCTAACAATCGTCACCTGGCCGACTATTGTCCCTTTGACCTTAGTCGCCTGACTATGGACTTTTGATCATTGTCACCTAACTACAATTCAGTCGACCAAGACAATAGGCCAACAATCTATTAAGAACAGGTCATGCCTTTATATTCTTCCAACTACAATCATGTAATATGCTATATATGATGTATATTTTCTAATATTGAGCCAATGCCTTCCTCTATGGAAATGCATCATTTGTAACCGATATTAGACACTAGTGAAATCATTTCAGCTAAGATTGGCCCAATAGTTTTTCCCCTTTTTAGGATTTTACACATAAAAATTCAGGTTTCTCTTATGATTCTTGCACCTCTCTCTTTATATTATGCTTGTTGGATCTTCGTACAAAACAAAGACGTTAAACTCACCATCTCTACCGTCACAAATGTTCTGGTAGGCAAAGTTTAATGATTAAAAAATTTATATGATGTGTAATTTAATATAATTTGTTAAATTAATATTGTTCTACGCTATTCTTATTATAACAATAATAATGAATATGATAATATGTGCCAGGCCAATTCGAAATTTTGACGACTTAAAGATGAATTTAAGATGCCCATTTCATTAATAATATTTAAATGCAAAGTCATATATGAATTAAAGCTTACCAAAATTTTTGTTGAGTGTATTGACAAAACTACGAATTATGTGTAAGAAGACAAAAAGCTTCACCTTAAAATCAGGAGGAACGAATTTTTATATTCAATATAACAACATAATTTTTTTAAAAGACAAGAATTATCAACTATCATTCTAGACCTGTCAATATTGGACCTGACCCGAAACCAACCCGAACCTGACCAGAAAATTTCGGGTTTGGGTTGGCCCGAATCCGAAGCGAGCCGGGTTCGGGTATGGAAAACCAACCCGTTTGCAAAATTGGGTCGGGTTTGGGTTGACCTGGAAACCCGGGAATGACTTGAAAAATCCATCTGCCCGGGCTGCCTCGCGTTGCCTGCCCTGGCTGCCCCGGCTG